AAGTAAACACATCTAAAACAAACATTATGCTTTTTAATAAAAATGCCCAATTATTAAATCATAAGTATAGTGTTTGTTATGAAAATAAAGAACTAGATATAGTTAAACATTATAAATATTTAGTAATAGAATTTAAACCAAGTGGAAAGTTTGATCTAGCAAAAGAACATTTATATAAAAAAACATTAAAAGCATTTAACTATATCAAACAAATAATTAGCACATCAACAAATATCAACATAGCAACTTGGATCAACATTTTTGACCATATAATAAGACCAATACTAACTTATGGATGTGAAATATGGGGTTCAGAGGGGTATACAGATAAAACATACATAGAAAAATTAAATTTGAAATTGTGTAAAATGCTTCTACAAGTTAACCAGTCAGCATCAAATCTAGCAGTTCATGGGGAATTGGGCAGATACCTAATCTCAGTTTTCATTAAAAACAATGATGGTCAGATAATGGTATAAAATATGTTACAAAAATGGAAACAAACTAGTAAATGAGGCAATTTCCTGTAATATTATTGATCAATCACAATGGGCAAAATCAATACAAGAAATAATAGGCGAAAGTGAAATTAATAATTATTGGAAAAAGACCAAGAAAAGCATACATCACATAAGTGATCAAATAGAAGCCAGTTATGTAGATTTGTGGAGAAAAGCAATTAATTCAGAAAAATCTAAATCTGAGGAAAATAATAAATTAAGAACTTACAGTAAATTCAAGAACGAATTAGTAATTGACAAAGCAGTACTTGAGAAAAATTAAAAATCCAATTTATAGAAAATATATATGCAAACTCAGAATTAGTGATCATAATTTAATGATAGAGAAAGGTCGCCATACAAGACCAAAAACAAAAGCGGATGATAGAATGTGTGAAAGGTGTGGTACTAATAAAGTTGAGAATGAATTTCACTATCTGATTAATTGTCCACAACACAAAGAAGCGAGAATGAGGTTATTGCAATCAATAATTCCAATATGTTAGATAACGAAGCAAAGTTTATATATATTATGGGCAACATACATATAGAACTGGCAATTTATATTAACGAAAGTGCAATTTTCTAAACCAGTGTCAACAGTATATTTATTTTCATCTCTTCTTTTTTGTAGTTTTTGTTTTAGTTTCTTAGAATAGTATTTGACTATGTTCTATTCAAAATGAATAATGTCAATAAAGTTAAAGTTAAAGTATGATAATACTGTGTCCTACATCTACGAGGTCTCATTTGTTGGTTGGTACCACGTGCTGATCGATTATCAGAGGATTTTTTGGCAGTGCTGCGGTGAATGCACGAACGCAAGCATACCACTGAATGTATACTGCATTAATCGGCATTTCGCTGTAATATAATTGAAATTTTATTACAACTGAACACTATGATCTGATAATTCGGATCGGATGGGAATGCTTGCACACATATTAAACATATATATTCTGGTGATTTTAACTTTAAATAGATTTGTTTTAATTGTTGCTATTACCAGGGTGCAGTGTAACTGAATTCACATGTGATGGGACTAAATGTATACCATTATCAGATGTTTGCAATGGTGTTAGTAACTGTGACGACAATGCTGATGAGATCGATTGTGGTAGGTCGTTCCAATTATTTTTTCCACTTTTGGTCATTTGAATAACTAGTCTGGTCGTGTGTTTATTTCTGTTTGTTGTAGCTATGTAGATTTGTAGCCAGTTACAGTATTTGTCGTATCCAGATTTGAAATCACCGAGGTTGTTTTCATATGAAGATTAGCATTCGGCATGCATATTAATAACAAACAGTTTTTGTTCGTGTACATGTAATTTACACACTTTTCGTATTGGTAGTCAATAACTATAACATGGGGGATTATGTTTCGAGGCCTATACAGATAAACAACTTTGAAGAATACGCTCGTCAAAACCTTATACGCACGACATGTACTTGTTTTCATGCAAAGTTAGTCTTATGACAGCTATGGAATGCAGGAATGCAGTGTGTGCATTGATTTTGCGGTTTCGTAAAATTGGCGTGGTATAATTCGTTAATTGCACCTCGTGACAGTGCTGTTATAAATGTGACAGCCACACTTATGGTCAGCATATTACAATACTCGGAATACTTAAGTCCACCCGTACGATTAACTGTACGTAATAAACGAAACAACACAACGCAAGTTCATCGTTATTGATTTTTAGGTTTATTAAATGAAGAACACTGACATATACATCCACTAATCAAAATCGATTATTGTAAGGGATTTCAACAAAGTACAATGGACAAGGAACAATACACTACATGAAATGCTATACAATATGAGATACGAGTTATATTGTTCACAGTAGCGTAGAATATTGTTAATTCAATAATTTATCTAACGTTTTCTATTTTCAAGTTTTACATTTCATCAATTTAAGAATACATATTCATACCCCTAGATCATGTGTGTGGACCTAGTAAATATCACTGTGGCCATGGTCACTGTATTGATAATGAGTGGATCTGTGATAAGATCGGTGATTGTAGCGATCACAGTGATGAGATTGGTTGTGAGTAAGTAATGCTATTTAATGTATGTAAACTATGAATTGAAAATGGGTAAAAATATATATGTTCACATATAACGCACATATAGATATATTAACACATTCAGTGAACCTGTAAATAAAATTATTGATATGATGGCACATATATCAAATCGTTTTTCCGTTTCAATTGTTTTTATTTGTCTCCATCATTTGAGGAAGTGATGCATCTCGATTCAAGTCATTTGTATATTTCTATGAAATATATACATCACGTGTTTTCTAATAATTTTCCCGTAAATAATCGGCCATGTTGTACACTCGGCAAAGCAACATGTATCACATTTCAACAGTGTGATACATGCAACAACCATGTGTGTATATTTCACTACAATAATACATTTACTTTTTTTGTATACTGAACATACCACGTATGTTCGTGTGATTATTTGCTTTGTTATAACTACTTTCGCATGTTATGTATTTGTACATAGACCAATCAAACCAATAATTATTACATTATATTTGTATTCGTGAGTTGATAAAAGTAACAGCACTGGCCGTACATATTGTCTTCAATATTGCGTGTCATTTGTAACTTTAAGTGTCTGTGGAATGTGCAGTGGAATGTATCGGTGGAGTAACCCATTAATGAATATGATCATTCGTTCTATTTACATTGTGTTTATTTTTTTCAAGGTATCTACTACCATGAACCAAATCACAAGTTAAATACAATATCTTTTATTGAAGATAATTGTGATATATTTTTAATGCCTATGGATATACAACAATTCGAATAACATTACAGAAGCGAAGATCACTGATTGAGGCTACAGCGTTGTTTGACAAAGTACACTCAATGCACAGTGGTCTGCTGAATAATGTATTGCTATAAGATGTTTAATAGAATCGTCAAAATATTCCCACAAATCTTTAGAAATACAATGAAAATACCATTATATTATCTGCTTTTATTTTTTATGTTATGTAGTTTTTTGTTATTATTTTGAATATTGATTCGCGTATAATTTATTTGTTAATTGTAGATGTATTTATTCGACCTAGCAATATATTTATATTATTAACATCGGCCAGAAGCTGATATTTGCTCGTGTTTTCTAAACATTGAAAAATGTATTTTAAATGGTACAATTATTGCTTAGCTATTCGTTGAAAAAATATGCCTACAGATTATTTGAAAAATAACTATGTAATATTAATTACTATAACACAACATATCCATTTTGAAAACCCATATACTTTTTAAAGTTGAACAGTTGATGTATATAGATCGACACGTAATTAAAATCATAACATTTTCAAATAATTAATAAATGTAATGTGTTTAATGATGATGAAATGGCTTATGATCTAAGTAATACATTAGTAAATACCTGTTTTACAGATAATGAATTACAATCAAAACAAAATTTATATCACAACATTCAATATTATAAAAAATATCGCTAATAAATAGAATATTTTGCCATATATTTATTATATGGCGGTTCATTTTTTTATCAATAAAATATTATTACACTGATGGCAGTGCATCGAGTCTCTGACGAAGCCCTAATAGGTGAGCCTGTGACTAGGCCAAGTCTTCTGTTATTGAAAGAATTGAACCCATGAGGACAATAATTTCTCTTAACCACATCGAATCAGGTTGAATACATACATGTTTTAGTAGATACGTCTAGTTGGCGAAATCCCTTGATGTTGACTTGTTAACTACTAAAGATAATACCTGTATTGGTTAAACATCACCAGATTGAACTATGCATTCACTGTGGTTTGAATAACTGTTTACTGTATTACATTATTACCCTTTGAAATACTTCAAGAAATTCTGTTATTATTGCAGTCTACTCATGCTGTGTTACTGCGTACAACTTCAATCAAATTTAGTTGATGGAATAACACCAAGTATAATTAAATAAAAATCGGAACTAAATAGAGCTTAATTTGGTGTTTGTATTTCTTAAGTTATGTATATTGATTATAAATTTGAAAAAAAAATATTATCTGCTGAGTTATGATGATTTAAATATGAGAAACCATAAAACTGTGAAATACTTTCGTCCGCGCCATCTTGCCATAAAGTAAACGCCAGCATGCGGTATAAACAAGAAAGGCAACAAAGCATGATGACGAAATACTATATCTGATTATGTATAAACAACTTGGGATCCATGGTAGGCTAGATTGGTAAATTACCTTCCAGCCTAGTGAGTTTCGACTTTTACGTTAATGTTATTAACAAGCGTATCAATATGCAAACATTATGGATGTGCGATACAGGCATTTTGTTTTGTTTTTTCTGGCCAACTGGTTTCTGATAAATGCTGTTTCCAGTACTGTTCGATGCGTGAAAACTATTCTGGATGCTGGGGTATTCAATCTTGAGTTCGTAGGATGGAGGTGGAAACATTTTCGCCCAGGTATTCACTGGGCTGCACTGGCAAATCGAAATCAATTGAAAGTAAGCCTCCAAGACCCGTTGGATTCGTTTTAAAAATGAGAAACCATAAAACTGCCATAAAACAGCCATCAATAAGAAAAATATACAATTAATTTAAATACAGTAATATTACATAACCTGTCACAGGAACACCAAGCACGGATTTATTCGTAATTTCAAATAAAACTATTACTAGAACAAAGGGCATAGTCGACGTCAGGTAGACTCACGTCACTCACACTGGACTGATCTGAATCTTCGCAGTCTTCCGTACTTCTCTGATCATATGCCCAGGAGCATGAACACATAAAATCGTGAAAAATTAAGAGACGCGCTTATACTCGAGGACCACCTTAGAAAAGATGATTTTGTTTTTGGCTTCAACATTGTAACCATTTAACCACCCACGAAAAATTATCCAAATAACATCTTTCGTTCACCACGCCACGCTTGGGAAAATAAAACTTGTCTTTGAAAAAAATGCCACAAACATGTTCATAAAATACACATATTTTATTACAATACGATTTACATACCGTCTGATGTAACTAACTAACTTCATTTTGGGATGTTTTCGATCGTACGCAAACTCTTGACGCAAAAACATTTTCACCATGATGTTTTTCAGCACGAACTTCATTTGACCTAACTGATCTTGTCTTTCAACTAATCAAAATGTTGTGTCGTAAAGACGAAATTTTCCGATTTTTGACAATGATTTTTGTTAACCAACCACAATTACTTGAGAATTATGGCAAATAATAGCTTGTTGGTGTAAAATCTTTGGCAATTGTTATTAATATTAATATAAAGCTAGGTCGAAATTGGTCATGAATATGTAGTAGTCAAGATGAAGGCAATATAGCTACCATTTATATAAAAAACCATGCTAAACATGTGTATAGATATTTACAATTCAATAAACCAATGATGTTGTTTATATTAGTATATGCGGTGTACCCACGATTCTCTCATCAGTCATTACCTTGAAATAAAATAAAATAACACAATGTAAATAGAACGAACGAATCATATTCTGCAATGGGTTACTCTATTTATACATCTAACTAAAGTACGGGCTTCCGACTGCGCATGTCACAGATACGTGTAGGTATGAATGTCATGCAATGATGAAGACAATGTGTATGGTGTATACTGTCTTCATTTTTATATACACACATACAAACACAATATTGCTGTGAGTGGAAGGGTACATTTTCACAAACATACTTGCATTGTCGTGCATATCATGTGTTGACGAGTGTATGCCATAGTGATGGCAACCAAAAAAGTGTGATAATTACTAATCTACATGTACACGAAGCAAAACCGTGGTTTTATTGATATGGATGTGAAATAACCTGAAACGATCACTAAATTGCATGTGAAAACAACTTTGGTGATTACTAATTTGGATACGACAAAAACCGTAGCTGGTTACAAATCTAAATAGCAAAAGTTACAGAAATAAACAATCAACCAGTTGGTTACATGATTAATAGTGGTAACAATAATTCAAACGACCTACCACAATCGATCTCATCAGCATTGTCATTACAGTTACTAACACCATTGCAAACCTCTGATAATTGGATACATTTAGTCCCATCACATGAGAATTCAGTTACACTACACCCTGGTAATGACAGGTATAGAACAAAATCAAAAACTCAATTTAAGCATATGTCCCAGGGCTGTAGGTAAAAGTGCTTGGGTTAATAGAATACCAGAAATAATACATAAATATTTTCCTCCTTGAAGAATGTTAGCAACATTCTAGCAATGAAAAAACAGTACTACGAGCATTACCGTGGTGACATGTTTTGACTCGAACTCGTACATGTATTGGTTTTGCGCCCTGCTCAGACTCTAAGTTTTAGAACACCTACGTCAAGCGCGTACAAGACATGGCCGCGCGATTTTTGAAAACGTTCGAATATAGGACGCTTTCAACGCACCTCTTCATAATAATAGACGGGGTATGACACATCAAAAGCTAACCAATAGGTGGTCGCCATACAGAACATGTGACCTGTAATTTTTCATCCAATGATCGTACCATTCCTTACGTGTACCATGCTCTTCTTTGCATTATTAGACATGTCTGCCTTATATTACCAAAGGTAACACCATGTTCGATCATCAACAAACATAACTCACTAATCTAGGTTCAACATAGAATGTTTGTTGTGAAATACATCAACATTAGTAACCGTTGTTGCGTGGTCACTCGTGATTCTTTGCTGTCACTAGATGCGTAGCTGCCGTTCTGTGCGTATATCGCTGACGGGCAAAATGAGCTTACCGGAAATAAAACAACGATATACCCTCACACTACAGCAATTGACGCGTTGTTACCAACCAATTTCCAACAATCATGTATAATAATACTGCCTGCGCGTCGGTCGATGCTCCCTCTGAACTGTCTGCGTGCATGCATTGATGTATCCTCATAATAACCTCATAATATACTGGTATCAAATGTTGTGGTGACATACCAAATACTGCCATGTTGTATATTAACACTTACCATAACACTGCTGACCAAACTCATCAGAACCATCTTGGCAGTCGATAGTACGATCACAAACAGACAGGTCGGGAACACAGTATCGCTCGTCCATACACTGAAAAAGTCCTGGCACACAATCTAGCAAAGTAACCATTAGTTGGAACATGTGTACGTTAATAGGCTCGGCTTATTCAACCAAATTATTTAGAATCATACAGATAGATGTTTACCCTAATAGAAGTATTGTGTAACGGCACAATATAACATTCAATAACAAAGCATACATCATTTATATTTATGTTTTTGTCGGAATTTTATTATGTTTTTTGGGGGGCTCATGGAATTTACTCAAGTGATCTAAAGAATGGCTTTATATCTGTAAATCAATCTCGTGGCGTTTCTAATACAAATTCATACTTTCATGCAGCAAACGACTATTGACATACGGGACAGTGTCAGATAACGCGCGTGTCCCATTTCAGTATTAAGTGACTGATTTGACATTTTTTCTATTATTATAAGCAGATTACCAATTACTTCAGCGTACAATCGCAACACTATTGTTATGCGAGTTATTTGTTTATTATTAGTTTGTTCAAATACACATTTAATCACAAAGCTATTTCACACTGAACGTCAAATCTGAAATTAATTATTAGATCGTGTTGATTTTGTGATTTTAATGTCAATACTAACCTACACAATACGCCTCGTCACTAGGTGGATAACAGTCTGCTATGCCATCACACATGTAGTTTAAATCTATACAAGCTCCACTCAGACATTTATACTGGTCCACCGTACATCCTGGTCAATACAATCATAATATCTGCGTGAAAACTAAATGTGCGTCAAAAATTAAATCATACTCGTAATAGTTTCACAGCAATACTCACGTCGAGGGTCATATCAATATCGTATGAAATGTAATAGTAGTCAGTTCGGGAAAGTCTTCTCAGAATGCATATATAAATATATATATATAAACATCTAATATACTATACAAATTTGTAAAAAAGTTGATTTGAACTTGCACTATTTGAAAATACTTGTCATAACAAGTGTTACAACTGCATTATTGTAATAATACGAATAGTATAGTGCATTATTTTCCAATTTGTAATTTTAATTTCCAAGTGTAATTTGGTCTTTTATACATGCTGCAATAGTAGCAGTTAAAGCTTCTTGAAATATAGCTAGCAAATAACACCGAATAAACGGCAAGGTAAAGACTATGTCTAATTATAGTAAACACGTACTGCGTGCGTGACTCGAACAGGCGCTCGCGTACGGCACCTAATCGCCTAGCATCACGCCACTACACGTATTCCCCTCGGCCACCGGGCATCCCCATAAAAGGATGCTTAATAACCGAGCTTATTACATGCAGAGAACATGAAACCCGTCCACGCGATCCGCGCCACACAGTGTGTATTTACCTTGCCGTTTATTCGGTGTTATTTGCTTACTTTACTTCCTATGTCGACAGCAACTATGAGTTTTGAAATATAGCTGTAGTTCAACATGTACACTGTACATCTTGGAAACACTTTCATGTTTTTCATTAATTTTTAATTTAAGTTTATGTCAAGCACCAGGCTGCGCAAGAAATAATTGTACGTGCTTTTTTGTATGTGGTCTTATCAACCTAAGTACAACTAGAAATCGATACACGTGATGAATTAAGTACCTCGCGGTACGGATTTTGATACTCCACATTTGGTGATCAGTGGTTGTAGTTCCAATCACATCTGTGCACTTTCACATGTGATAGAAAACTGTTTGAAACACTCAAGAATGCAAAATGTTATCCATTTTTGTGTTGTTTAACTGTTTGAACTTCAATTACATCTGTTTTATTTTGCAAGATATATGCAAATCTAACTGTAATTCATAGTGGTTTTGTGTAGCCAGAATATATAACCATTTTAGAAGTTGTGAATAAGTGTTAAGTTAATACATCACAGCGTGGTATCGCATTCAACAATTGTTGAGAATTATTAGTGCTACAATTGTCACTTACTCTCGCAGTTAATTTCGTCAGAGTAATCCCGACAATCTGCCAGATCGTCACAATAAAACCGAAACGGTATGCAGCCTCCATCGTCACATGGGAACTCACTGAGATCACATTCTAGTTGTAGTAATTAACATAGTATTGAATAAAAAAGGACAGATTATGTATACAAAATATGCATTTTTTGGTATGATGTGGATAAAATATTGATGTAATCGACTAGTCATTTACGATCAATCTGAGATAATAATAAATGTCGATGCTTCTTGATGTCAGTGTGAGGAGTTGAAAATGAATGGAAGATCGAATTATTATAGAAGTGCATGAGACTTACCGACTGTGGGAATTGAGGGTGCATCCTTAGTCATAGTAGAGGATATTGACGAGGTGGTGTCAGCAAAGTTTGTAGACGATTCAGTCTTCACAGTTTCCACATGCGTGTACCGCAATGGATGAGTCTTATTGTATATATATGTAGTGCCTGGTATGGTGCTGGTAGATTGGGGATTGACTGTATCAGTATCGGGAACTATGGTATTTGACTCAGTAGTTGCCCATTCCGTTGGGTTCATCGTTTTTTCCACATACGTTTTATGAGTCTGGTGTTCATACGGCGTACTTAATTCGATATGGGTGTGTTGTTTCTTAGAAACAGGAAATGGTGTTCGCATATGACGAACCCTTCCACCTATATTTAGACGGAGAGTCAATTGTGTTTACGTGAACAAAAACATCATCACCACTTAAAAACAACATTTTATTGAACAAAGAATAATTAAGTATTTGGTCCAGTCAACTTTTTGCTAGACGTGGAATGTAAATGTGTTTGGGTTATTTTATATCCGACTACGTGTGTTACAGTACTTCGTACTTTTGAGTATTTAAGGTCTAACTAATTTAAGGTATTTAAGTTCGACATGTGATCAAAACTATTATTCAAAAATGTTAGCTAGAATTGATGTCTTGTATTTAATCGTAGTTTTAATATTTATCCGTTTTGAGCTTAAACGTTGACATATTGCATGTTTGTAGATTCACATCTCAGAATAATGAACACACTGTTTGCATTGAATACTATCCAGTTTTTAAAAAGCAAAATAATGTGTGGAGTTAATGACATCACAAATACCGTACCTCTTGTCATGTTGATATAAATAAAATATAATCCAACTCCAATCCCAATTGAAAGAATGAATAAAAAAGAAAACCTCTTCAGTATACGCTTTGACCTTGCTTGGAAAAACTTATTCGTGTATATGGTTTGGTCCGTCATTGTGGATCGTCTGTGATAAAACAGGTTTCTGTTATCGAGTATTCCGTCATTGTAATATAATCGTGTTATACTTTGTCATAAAGGTTATGATAATATAGAGGGCGGTTTGGCATCTGTTTGAATGGATGTATTTATCTAATGATTGGATATTTATAATTGCGTACAGTTGTGTCAGGTTCCTAATTTATTATCCATTATCATAATTTAATTTGTGCTTTTATGAATGTTTTAAATATTAGATGATGATGTGTCTTGAGAAATTTACATGGTATAAATATTTGCAAAATGACATTCCACACTTAGCCAGTCGCGAATCGATCATATTAACTAACACATTGATAATCGTCGAGTGCATCAGCGATAGTATTGAAAGATAGAAAGATGTGTTTCTACCTGCCTGATTTTAGGGTTGCCAAATATATTTTAGTTATGTGAAGTTTATTGTCTGGCATGATATAGAAGAGGCACACTGTTTATTATTAACGGATGTTGGTTATATATATCTATCATACTTGAGTAGAGCATAATACATTTATACTAATGTGTTTTAAGTATCCATATCTACAGTGGCGGTATATCTACAGAGGGATTGATGATTGAAAATCGTCGTATTGAATTACAATTAAAGATGGTGTTATCTATGATGAAATATATAATAGAAGACATTGAAGATTATGATTTACAGTTCTTAATATAACCATGATTTTTCAGATATTATTATACAATATTTCTACTACTAATAATAATTTATTGAGACAATGCAATTTCATATTTTTGTTGCATGCACAGTTAACGGTGGTGCATCCAAAATGGAACCAGGATGTGCACCTTATTTCTATCTATATGTATTTTTAGTGGTGAACAAGAGAAATATTCCATACTCAATATTACAAATTCCACTTTTGAGTATATCACATAGTATATTTAATTTCAGCTAAACAAATTATTCAACGATTCTTTTCTCGTTCATGCCATATGGCTTTTTTTATTATAGTGTATCGAATACACACTCTCAGAAGGATTATGAGGCTACAAATGAACCAGTTCTTTTCACCGCGGGATCCCGCGTTATGCGTGAGATCACACGTGCGGCATTTCCACGTTTAATAATGTGCAAAGCTCATTTGATGGTGGTCAAATATAACAAAGTAATTCATATTTTTTTCCTGAAAGATCGCAATTTCGACCGGTGTTTCTAATGCAATTGAACGTTACAGAGAGAACGAGTGCATCGATAGGATATAATGTGACCTACATGCACGCCATATTGTTTCTTAGAACAGTTTACATAATGCCCGACTGGCAGCAACTTTGTTTAAATAAATAATGTTTGGAGCTATATCTTTGTAATGCCTCAACGTTCAAACTTATATATATCGCTATATTGCTAAATGCCTATTAGGTTTCAAAACATTATTATCTCCATTTACACTGAAACTCACCCAAGCTCAGTGCAATTGGCTCCTTGGTGCACTGTATGCATAATAAACAGACACAGTTGCCTATAAACAATATTTAATAAACCATCAATTTTGCAATGAATGTCATGAAATACTGTTATTATTGTTCATCATTATTTGGCCATACAAAATAAACAATGATCAGAAATTAATTCTATATTGAAATCCAGAAACAATATGGTCAGGCGCGAAGTAGAACCATTTAACTATGAAAAATGAACAATACCAAAACTCAATTGTTTGCATGCAGGGGCACAAATCAATACCTAAAACGCATAGAATCTAAATGTTGTTCTAAGTCCACGTCTCTGACATACATTGACTGATTGCTACCCTAACAACTACAATATACATTGTTTAAGTTGTTTCATGTTGTGTTTTAAAATGGTTGAGACATTTCAGTTTTGTTTACTACTTAACTAACAGAACTTATTTTAATTTTACCGTGTCTTATTCTCATCAACTGAATTAGGTCGAGGGCGTAGCCGTGAACACAGAACGTGTGGGCAATTACAGAATTTCTTAAAGTGTTCGAACATGTAGTAATTTAATATATATATATTGGTTATACAAACCCCTGTGAAACTGAATGCATCAATTAATATGATGGAGTGTAAAGCCATACTGGTGTTTTTTTTAATAGTTACCAAGTGATCTACAAAGGGTTTTGTAGACTACGCGTATCTACTCAAACATGTGCTGAACCAGTTTCGATATGATTGCTTTTCAGTAACTATGAGCTCAATCTTTCAGCGATAGACATTCTTGGTCCAATCACATGACTCAGTCACCAAGGCTTTGTCGATGAGTCGTTATACTGCCCTCAATGTTATATAAATGTATCATATTTACAAAAATAAAAATAAGGGATACAAAAGTTCATTTTTAAACAAAACCAAAAATAATATATGCATGGCTAAATGACCTAAATATGAACGATTATATTGATTATAAATGATCAACAAGTATGGAATAAAATATTGAATGTTATGTGTGTTATGTTATTAGCAGTCAATAAATCTTACTAATTTCAATTTGATGTGATTATAATTTCCATAATAACAAGTAATTAGTAAATCTATTAGATCATTTCAAGGGCAAGTTTAACATTTCCATTAAACACATTACGTTAACTCTACAACATTATGTTTTGAAATATAACATTAATTACACGTCGTGCATGTATACCATTGATCAACTTTAAAAAGTACATATGTTTTCAATATGGATAATTAGTATTACATAGTAATTTTACTTCTGTTATTAAAATAATATGTACAACTTTTGCATTCATGATTTTGTCAGAGTGTTTTTTATGTTTGTATGTCGCCCTCATTGAATTTACTCGACTCCCGACTCTAAAACAATGGGTTTGTTGTGTTGGTTCTAATGCAAATTCACACTTTCAGTAGGCAAGCGACCAGTGACGTTTAGGACAGTTTCACATATCGAATAATTCCCATGGCAGTATTCATCAAATTAAAAGACTGATTTGACAATCTAATAGTTAATGTTGCATCAGTTTGATGGTTGCGATGGGAGTTATCTTTATTTACAGCTTGAATGAGTACAAATCAACCAACATCTTCAATTCAAAGTAACTGGTGTACCAACATTGCTGCAAATAGGCACACCAAAACGACTGGTGGAAGAACAGTTGATGAAAGAAGATCTCCTACAGATGTTTTTTTTTGAATAATAGAATCCAACGGGTCTTTGAGGCGTACTTTCAATAGATCACAATAAACGTCAAAGCTGAGATTGATCATCAGATAGTAGTTGATATTTTGATGTCACTTTAAGTACTTACCAATACAATACTCATCATGAGGGGAATAACAATCCACTGTGCCATCGCACATACGATTTAAATCTATACAAATCCACTCGGACATTTATACTGGTCTACTGTACATCCTGGTCAGTAGAAGCATAACATCTGCATCAACAATAAATTCAGAAACAATTACTTATCCAAGATGGCACTACAATGTGTCTAAATGCATTGGTATTTTTTTTCAAGCATTGCGCAATAGTAGCAGTGAAAGCTTCTTCGAATATAGCTGAAGGTAAACTCGTACTGTTAAATTACTACGCAATCACGACCAAATATTAAACATGATTTCTTAGCATTTGAACCTATTGTTCTAACAATAACATGTACAAATTTTAGTAAATCAGCATGAAAAGTGTATGCTGTGAACTGAAGCTGAATAACATTATTTAAAAAAATCACAATCATCTAACTTCGTTATATCGTCAGTATCGTAGATGACAAATGGTCTGTCTCAATATATTATGCTTCATCTGAAGTTGATATAATATTAACATAAAGTGCACCGCTATTCAATATTGGTAATTATATGGAACAGAACGTGGTTTACAATAAGCAGCGTGGTCGCTTTACTACGCTGAGTAGCTTTGGGAATTATGCAGACGTCGGACAATGTGTTTGAAAGTATGTTACTGTTGTTGAGTTCTTCCTGAGATTTTTTTTCATATTGATATTATTTGCCATATTTTTCATAATAATTCTGAGGTTATTCCTCAAATACTGATTGTTATGCCAGAAGCTTGTGGTGTCTTGATACCGAGGTACAGTGTTTCTTTCATCACATTGAGATGTTTATCGAAAGACGAGTTGGCAACACATACGGTGCATCTGTGTCAGGGGTTTGGTTGTTTCCATATATACAGCGTATCAGGGGATCAATGTTTTGCACATGATAGCCTTATTGGGCATTGAAAGCGTACTGAATGAGCGGAATGTCTTGGTGTCCGATCATCTCTGACTGAACAACAACTCGGCCCATCACAACTGGTGGTATTCTTGTTTTCC